CTGTATATACTGACACTTAGTTTTACCTGACATCTTGCTGTCCTTCCACACAGCTTAATGAAACTCCTCCAATGACCTTTCCAGTATTTCTGAATGTGATTAAACAACTTTGAGTGTGTGGCTTTATAAATCAACTTCCAGAGATTATTAATATTAAACAGCTCTCAATTTAAGGCAAAACCTTCTGCCTATGAGAACTCAATATTTATTTCTGTTATTTCCTCTAAGAGGCTGTGACCCATGACAATACTTTACCTGTTGCCTCACGGTTTCCTTATTTAATAGCCAGGTACGAAGAACCTTCACATACAGCTCCAAAAGTCACAGTACACAAGAAAGGACAACATTAAAATCAAACTAGAACATCAGCTATGTCATTAGTACAAACAAAACCCCTACCAGACCAGTGAGGCACAACTGTCTCTGTCACCAATACCAGTAAGTATTGCCAAACATGCCACCAGTCTGCTGCCATCATGTACTTCTAGCTGCAGGACCTGTAAGTGCACCTGCAGCTGTAAGTGATGAAAACCATGTGGGCAATGGTTTTTCTTTAAGAACTCCCAAGAATTTTCAGATTTAAAGAGATTACTTACAGAATATTTCTTGGAAGCTACCCTCCAGTAACTTTATATTATATTGACCAATCTCTACTAAATTTGGAAACCCTCAAGTATACTGAGGGTCTCCACATACAGGTAAACAAGAGCCAGAGAGAAAACAGATTTTATTAATACTCCTATTAAATGAATGCAGCTTGCCACACAGCAGGAAAAAAAGGGGAAAAAAAAGACACTAAAAATATCACAACTGTAAGAAATGCATCAACAGCATTTAATGCCTTTTATTAGATGTTGAAAAACCACCTGGGTTTAGAACAGATTCTTGTTTCCTAATAAGCTTTAAATGTCAGATACTTGTGGCATTCATAATAATCTACTCCTTTGTGGAGTCTGCTGTCTGAAGACTAAAATTCACCTCACAGCCATTGCTTTTAACTAAAAAGTCAATCAATGGTCAGATATAAACTCGTTGAAAACCATCCATTATTTCTGCTATTAAGTATTTTGTTAAAAATGTAACTTTTACTGCTACTTTATACCAATTATGTGGTATAAAAAATTATCAGAAAGAGAAAATATCCTAAGCAAGCTAACATTTAATTCAGCTTCCACCCCCAAGCACCTACATTAATAAATATATTTTTAGAAATGTGCATACTTTTGATGATATTTTGATTTTTAACTGATTTTAAATCATTTCAGAGGATTAAAGATCCAATACTAAAGACATGAGTGTTTCTAATGATGCTAATTGGTTTATTTTCCTGGAAGTCTATAATTAATATCTCGTTGCCTCTCCAAGATGTTCAGTGTTCAGCTGGTGTTACAAGATGTGGGTCACAGCACAGTGAAAGCACTTGAGTAGCATGAAGAGGTTACACAGCATGCTTCCAACCTCCACAGAAAAGGCTCCTCAAAGCAAAAAAAAAAAAATTGTTTGCAAAGACATCTGAAATAATCACAACAGTCTAAGCCATTCCATTCTCCAGTCCTATCCTACATCTTTTTTTTTTTTCTTTGAAACCAAGTCTCATAAATATGAAATGTAGAGCTTGTGATCTGTGTCAGATGACCTCAAGATTCCTCCCCAAAAACTTCAGAGGCTGATTCACAGATGTACTGGAACACACAACTCCTATTGCAATCTGGCGCCTTGGTATCTTTGAAAATCCGGGACATAGTCCAGAAAACTGAGATGTGGAAAAGAAGTATTACCAACCTTGCAGCAGTCAGAGACTCCAAGGTGACAGAAAAAGCAAAGCATGAGTAATAAAAGATGCCCTACCCTCCTAGCAGTAAAATTAGGCTTCATTAAGATGCCTCAGACATACCAGCAGGTTAGAGAAAGCTCAAATCAGAAGGCAGCAACATGAACCTGTTAAGACCTCCATCATGATACCTCTTTTCAGCAGCCAAAGAGCACGGGAAGAGAAGAAAAAAAAATTGTTTTCTTTCAAATTGTATTTCCCTTCGACAATGGAGCCTCATATTCTAGTTCAGTCCTCTGTCTGATAAGTATCTGGAATGCTGTTGGTTCTTTTTTCCTCTAAACTGCAGACTTACAAATCTTGGTGGATGAGAAGTGACTGTATATGCAAGTGGGCTGACAGCAGTTTAAGAGTGCTAAAAAAAATTATAGAAAAACTAGAACAAGCAGGATTATATGCAGCATCTTCGTTGGGGTAAAAAAGCCAGCAGAAAACACAGGGTATGAGATAAAGCACACCCATGGTGGAAAAAAGAGCTAGGAAAATGCTTGGAAAGGGAAAAGAAAGTAGGACAAAGCATTAAAACATACAGAAACAGATTTTGTTATCCATTATAAGGAATAAAGAACCAACGTGAAGGAAAGCTGTGAAATATTGAGGTAAGATTCAGTACACCTTAGCCCAGCTCTTCAAGGAAATTAGTCTGATGCAGAAAGCATTGGGGAAGACTGGGGTCCCCCATGTGTTTCCAAATAGCTTGGAAAATGGCTGGCTTAATTCAAACAGCTCTGACAGAAGGGCAGGAGGTTTCAAAGATAACTGCTTAAGAAAACATTAAGTTTGTGAAATCAAGATGCTACGAGTGTCCTGACTGACGGAAAGGCTGCAGTATGCATTAAGACCTTATTAGACGTTGCATGATCCCCCAAAAGCACAAGACTATAAATGTTTTAAACAAGGAAAAAAACCAACAAAACATCAGAGCTTATAAAAATTCATGTGATTTAAAGGAGAGAAAGAAGTCCTATTTCTACTGCTGAAGGAACTATTTTAAAATAAATCTCTCTTTCACCTGGGAAACAAGGAAGGCTTGGTAGCACTTGGTGTAGCATTCACCACCACAAGCAGTCAGCACCAGGTATCAAACGGCTCGTTCCAAAAGCAAGAATGCAAAAAGTGGGGTATTTCCATCTCTCTTTGGAGAAATCAGACTTAGAGAGGCAAAGCGACTACAGGGAGAAACAGAAGTGGAAAGAGTGAAATGGAAGAGAAGCCAGGTATCCCAGATCTTCCACCCACCACTGCAGGCTGCCTTCATTCAGAACCAGCAGCATCCTCTTCCAGCCCAAAACACAGTATGGTTTTGAGAAAGTGATTAAAATAGAACACACTTGCAGCATACAGTAATCAGAGAGACTTGTTCTTATAAACCATGTCACTCTTCATTTGATACTGATCGACCCCTTCTTGAATCCAAAACACCCAGTTAGCAATCACTAAGGCTTAACACAGCACCTAGACAGAAATAACAAGTGGCAATTCATCAGCTTTCTCAACAAAAGTAGGTTTTAAGAGGAGCCAAACATCTTATCCTTCTACACTTACTATTTCTGTAATTAAAGCGTAATCGGGTCAACATTTCATATTCAAAAGTGAGATGTTGTATCCGATTGCTAGCTGAAAATTAATCTTCTCTACAATGTAAGCAAATAGAAACTTTATTCAGCAAAGCACTGCCTGTATCTTCATGTGCTTACTGCCCTGATGGTACCAGAAAGGCAACTAATTTAAACCAGCCAGTGATTCTCACAGGCTCTACAATGAAAACATCCAGAATCTGAGATGATTAAATATTACCGGCGAGCGATCGGGGATGTTGGGACGCAACGCAGCTCAACGTGCTTAAGCAAACTACCGCGGCCCCGCCGGCTGCACGTTCAGAATTGAGGATAACAAAGCAGAATTAGGCATTTTCAAGCGCAGTTCTGCAGATAAGAGCATCGCAGATCGACCCCGAAGCACTCGGAGGCGCACGTTCCAACTTCAGGCAGTACCCGGCATCTGCACGCCAAGCAAAAAGGAAGGCGCTCATATGGAATCGGTTAATGATGGCACCGACAAACCGGCGGCGTTGGAGGATCCGCTCGCGACGGCGCCGAGCGATGGGCACGGCGTGCCGCGCGGCTTCCCGTGCAACACCCGTCAGCCCATCGATAGGTGCGAGCGGACAGCGGCTCGCAGCCGCACGAGTTCGCGGCAGCCCGGTTCAGCCCTCGCGGCCGCAAACAAAGGAACGGGCTCGGCGTCGGAAACGCGGGGCTTCACCTGCAGCCCCACAGCAGCATACAAAGAGGAGGCACGGCCGCGCTCCTAACGCGCGCCGAACACCGGAGCGAGGCGCGGCGGCGGAACGCCGGCCGCCTTTTCTCTTCGCCCCTTCCATCTAAATTGCTAAAAGCGGCCAAGTTCCACCGCGCACGCACAGCACTTGTTTGAGAGCCGGCAGCCGGACGTCACCCCGGAGCCGCTCCGGCCCCGAACCCCGCAGCGCGGCCGCAGAGCCCGGAGCCGACGGAGCCCCGGCCGCCCCCTCCCTCCGCCCGCGGGGGCCGCGAGGGGCGCGGCGCCGGCGGCACCCGGGCCTGCGGCCGCCCGGACCCCCGCTCCCCGCACCTGCCCGCGCTGACGTCACCGCCCGCACCGGGCGGCGGAGCAGCACCTGGCGGCGGGCGCGCCCCCACCGCCCGCGCGGCGCTTACCGGCTGCTCCCGCGCGACGCCCCCGCCGGGCACCGCCGACTTCAAACGGCCGCGGCCATTCCGCGCGCGCGCACCACCGCCGAGGAGAGGCGGGCGTGAGGGAGGGCCCCCGGCCCGCCGCCGCCGCGAGGGAGGCGGCGGGGGTGCGGAGCGACCCGAAGCCTTCACAATAGGCACGGGGCAGCGCGTGCGGGAGGAGGAGCCTGAGCCGGGGCGGGCGGCAGGCGGGAGGCAGGGCTGTTTACCCGGCGGCCGGAGCGAGCCGCCCCCGCCCGCCGCTCGGGCTGCTCCACGCGCCGCCGCCCCCCGTCCGCGCCGCGCCAGGGAGGCGAGCCCACCGCGCCGCCCCCCCCACCGCGGGCGACAGGTGGTACGGTCCGGCCCGTCGCCCCCCCCACCCCCAACCTCCCCCAACAGCCGAGGTGGGCGGGGCCGTCCGCCGTGACGTATCAGAAGCCGGCTGCTGGCGGCCAATCACGGGTGGGGGGCGGGGCATCCCGGGCCCGCGGCTGTCCCCTGGCGACGGCGGCAGCCGCTCGTCCCCCCCTTTCGAGGAGACGGGGACGGTCCGTTGCTGAGCTTGGCGCGCGGTGACTTGCGGGCTGCTCCGCCTGCTCCTTGCCGCGGCGTAGGAGAGAATAAATAGCGGGCCGCCCATAGCGAGCGGCAGTGGCGAAATCCCCGTCCCCCCGTCTCGAGCCATTGCACAGCACCCCCCCCCCGCCCAGGCCGCTGGGCTGGGCCGCGCTGCATGCTGGGTAGTGTAGTCCCGCCCGAAGGTCCTGGAAGATTAAGAACAGATAGCAGAAGAGAGAGACGAAACACGTCCCAGACACGTGTATATCCCATAAAGCACCGTACTTTGTACTATAAAACGTCTTTAGAGTTTTACTGAGATACGGTTTACCGCGTCACTCCGCCCGACCCGCTCTCTGGGTAAGACCCACGACGAGAGCCGCGTAGCTGCCAGGACCCGCCCGTCTCCGCCACCCCCACGCCAAGATGTCGGCGGCCATCGCCGCGCTCGCCTCCTACGGCGGCTCCGACTCGGAGCCCGATTCGGAGCCCGAAGCTGATGCCGGTCCACAGCGCGCCGTCGTGCTCGCCAGCCGTGACGCTGTGCTGCACCTCCGGCCGCCGCCCGCAGCGCCCCCGGCTCTGCCCGTGGACGCGGCCCCGGAAGTGGCGGTGAAGGTACGGGAGCGGGCGGGAGCTGAGCCCAACTTTGGGGTCTCGGGCAGGGGGCGGGGAGGTGTCGGCGTATTGCTGCCGTCTGTGTGTGTGGCGGTGAGAGCTTGCCCGGCACTCCGTCCGGATTTTTTGTCTAATTCTCTAGGATTAGAAAGCTCTAGGCAGTAAAGAAGCACTGTTTTGAGTGCAGGTGACAATCGTTGTCTGAGTATAGTTTGAGAAAAACAGCGAGTGAGGAGGAAAGCAGAGTTACGGTTCATGGGTATCACTTCACTTGTGCAAGAGCTGCTTTGACACGTATAAGGGTCAAGTAGTCCTGAGTGCACGGATGGGCAAATACACAAGGGACTGGAAATGCATAAGAAGAGATGGTGATAAGAGGGGAGGCTGAAGGGTTAGTCACATAATGTCAATGGCAGCCACACACAAGTGCGGTTCTGCCTACTGAGAATGTCAGTCTTCAGTATCCATATTCCTCACACTGATCCTAATCGTTGTACCTGTTCCTCATTGAGAATTATATCTTAATTTGCACAGACTTCAGACTCAGACGTTAAAGACGAATGGGTTCTTCACTCTGTTAGCAAGGCATAATGGTTAGCTCAATCAGTGATGGTATTTTTGGTATTTTTTTTTTCTTTGGTGTTACTTAATCATGCTTATCAAATAGCCATATGGTGTGCAGGATTGGGCACCTAATGGGACATAAAGCTTAGAGCTCCTGTACTGGAAGAGGCAATGAACATTCAATCCCCTCTAGCACCAAAGATTTCGTGGGTCTCAGGCACACTTTTCAGCTCAGTCATCTCCCTCCCCGTTTTGGCCTGTTCCCTAACCCCTCACAAAGCAGCACTAACTTCGCTCAACCATGCTGTTCTTCTGTAGTGCCATTTTTCAGATGAGTTCCCAGTGAAGAGCTGCAGGCCACCATGAGGCTTCCTCTCAGCCCTCTCTGCTCTGGGCCAAACAAACCAAGGGATCTCAGTCCCGTCCCATGCAGATCTTCCACCATCTTCACAGCACTCCTCTGGACAGTCTCTAATACTTTCATATCCTTCTACATCCTTCTGTGTCCTCTTTATGTCCCAGCCAGAATGGTGTTATGGTGTTTCTTTCAGGGAGAAATCCTGTGATATATAAGTGGGTCCTGTGAATTCCTCAAGGCCTTGTGTCAGTTTGTTGGATTGTTGACATATGTACTGCTCTTGTCAACTCCTTGCTGGCAGTTGCATTTCCTGCAAAGGAGAAGGTCCATTTCTCACTTTGTGTGTGAGGTATGGCAGGTCCCTGCACTTGGCTGGGAGCAGAGCTGCACAAAGTGACTCCACAGTGACTGCACTGCCTGAGCAGGCACCATCCTATTGCGTTGCTTGAGGGATTTTTATGGATGTTTTTTCTTTAACCAGTATCATGGTGAGATTCAGTGCAGTTACGATAAGAAACAGATGCCACCTTTATGCAGTACCTCTTGTGAACCACCCTCTTGGCATGACAAGCAAGGTTCTTAAAGGAACCAGTTCTGTGAACGGGACTTTTGAAGCTGTTACAATTAACAGACTGAGGAGAAACAAAGAATATGTTTGCCTAATGAAAGTCTGATGATCTGGAGCCCACCTGCTGTTAGTTATCCAGAGGCTGGCTAAGTATGGTGTCTATGTGTTGGCTTTTTTGGGGGTAAACTAAGAATGTTGTGTGAAGCAGTTGAACACAGAGACTCAGTTACTTGGTCTTTAACACCAGTTTCTGTTGATACAAAAAAAAAATTCATCTTATGGTTGCTTGCAAACTTGTGAATTAGGGAATTAAAAATGCTGAAGGAAACGTAGGAAATTGCACATTCTGTGAAGAAATCAGTTTTACATGAAATGTTGCGGTTATAACTATTGCTTTGTGAGAGAATATTTATTCTTTGTCTGATCTGCATCAGCTCAGGGTGAGACTTGGATGGGAACAGACAGTTCCTTATTTATCTACCATGTCTCATTCCCTGTTTCTAGGAGAAGGATGCTCAGCAAGATGAAATCAACTGGGCTGAGCCACTGCAGAAACTGGAAGTTCTCTATTTAATGTAAGAAGGGGTTAGGAGTCTCAGATCTATTTTTTTTTTTCTGTTGAAACTGGTACCAGTATGTAGGTGTCCAGAAAAATACAACTTTGAGGGAAAAAAGTAGACTTCATTCACATTTCTTAATGTTCTTTAAAATCTATTTCTTGCCCAACTGTGGAGAGGAAAGGCACACAGTCATTGTGTGACCATGGGATAGCAATAATGAAGTTTAATGACTTGTGTGGTGATCTGTTACGGACACTTTGACTTCTTTTAACATGTTTTTGTTGGTTTTTTTTTTTTTTTCTATTTGTTGTCACAAAATATGTTGTACAGAATGCAAGGTGCAGGATATCTAGCATAGCTTAACAAAACCATTTGACATCTGCTTTTCTTGCCAGTCTAATTTTATTATTTTCAAGTCATTGGGATGAACATGGACTGATAGCATTTTACTCATTCACATTCACTAAAAGGTGGTAAGAACCAAATCTTCATGTTGGTGCCTTACTGTAAATGTCATTCATCTCTTGGTAATAAATTTAAAAATGTATGGGAAGAGAGCACACCGTTTACCTGACAGGCCAAGAGGTTTATGTAAGAATGGGTAAGTAACAAACTGCTTAAGCCTGTGCAACTCATGGTGTGGGGCCTTAATTTAGCACATTTTAATTTAAAAAAGTAATTAAGCTAAATTAAATTCTGTGCAGTGTGGACTGTACATTTTAGCTATTTGGCTAATTAGCAGTGAATTTAGTTGGAGAGAAGGAAACATGAGATTTGTTGTCTAAAATGTCCAACAAAAAAGACAACCCACATATATATCACAACTTCTTGCTTGGAAGATACGAAACCAAAAAGCTATGACTTTTGCTTCTATTAAACATCATGTTTAGACAAATGGTTGAAATTTGTCAAATTCTGCTTCTTAAATACATTGACAGCTCTCATTAAACTTGAAGGCAGCCACATGCTAGCACAATGAGATTATAACATTTGGCTAAAACTTAAAAATGTGGATTAAAAGAATTGTGAGTTGCACTAAGCAACATTATCTTATTACAGAGGAACAAAATGAGCTGCATCCATACTGTAGTTTGTTGCTTTTATTTAGGATTTTTCTTCAATAGATTTTTCAGGAATTTGATCTGCGTTTAAATCAAGGATATTTTTGTCTTGCAAGCCTATAAAAGAAACTTTTAACATGCATTTTCCAGATTTTTTTTGTTATTATTGTTATTGAACCATCTTGCATTTTACAAATCAAATGTCTTTCATAGATTGTAATGGTTTTGTTTGATGGCACTCAGGTATATTTTTCCTGAAGAAGGACTGTGGCATGTGCAAGGAATCCATAAAAAGGAAATCTAATCTGGTTTGCTTTATTTATAGTTTAAAATCCCTTGTATTTCCCATGCACTTATCTCGGCTGAGTGGCCAGAGGATCTTTATGGTAGGATTTAGAGAGGACACCTTGGTAGCAGCTAGACAGTCTGTGATCTCTGGGGTGCTGCAATGAAGCGCTTGCTTGTCTCTGCTTAGCTTCTGTATGCCTCCAGGTAGAGGTCCTTAGGAAATGCTGATGCTCCGGAGTTCAGGCCTGAGTGCCCTTCCTCTGACAGCATGTGATGTAGTGCTGTGGGATGAAACACAACAGAGAACAGGTAAAAGGGGAAAGAAGAATCAAAGCATTTTTATATACCTCACCAAATAACATCTGAACTATAAATCAACCTGATGTTGCAAAAGTAGACAGTCATGTTATAAGAGACAAGGAGAGAGAGAAAGCCCTAAGTGCTTCATTGATGTCATCTGTTCTGTTTTTGCCTTGTATCAAGGGTGAGACCTCTGTTATCTGGACACACGCTCCTTTAAGTTGCATTTACCAAACTTTAGTAGATTAACAAACTGCGGTCTCGGTGTTTTGCTGTACTTGCTTCTGTGAAGTTCTATAATCTGAATCTTTTTTTTTTTTTGGCCAAATCATATTGGTCACTTTTTTCTTCACGTCATATTTTCTTATGCCTTTGATTGTTCTTGATACTACGTTTTGGACCCTTTCCAGTAGCATGTGTGTCTTACATGGTATGTAGTACCCAACGTTGCCACTGCACACAGCTGAGCTTTTGTTACCTGCACTAAGGTAGGCAGAGAGAATGTGGAGACCTGGAGTTTGCAGCACCATTGGGTTATGTCATTCAAAAAGTCATATTCAATAAAATATAACTCCCTAAAACTTCCCACTTCCTCAGTATCAGAAGGGCGAGTTCAGCTAAAATAAGGTATGCAGGTGTGCCTTATGATCTTTGCCATCTGCAGGGGATGGGGCTTCTTGCTTCTGCTGCATTCTTTGCTCCCATAGAAAGAACACCCCCAATGCAGATTGCTTGCCGCTTTATGAAATGATTGGTGGTCTAAGTGAATGATGGTGGGTCTTGACACTATACATATTCAGTACTTCTTACCTGACTGTTCCATAGTGTTGTTCAGGCTGACATTTATCATATCTTGACCAAAGAACGAATAATTTGCCTCAATCAGGGTAACATTTCAGAATACGTTGTGTATTACTCTGTGGGTATCCATTGCTTAAAATATTGAGCAGGTGAAGCTGGGAGCTTGGGACACGTTCAAATTGTCATATAACTTAAAGGGAGATGGCATCACAAAAAAGACAACTGATTTCCTCCGGCAGCACAGTTGCAAATCATCATTTGGCTCAAAAGTACAGAAACTGGTGAGCATAGCTCTGATAACTCTGACACATGCTTTGCTTTCAAGGCTCAGTGGTTTTCAGGCAGAAGGGATATGCCTGTGGTGGTCTCGACGCGAACATATTGTGCAGCTTCCAAATGACTCAGCGCTGTTCCACCAGCAGTGAGGGTGAACCAGAATTGCTATAATCATCCAGCAGAGGATCAGCTTTCAAGGCACAATCTGTTTCTTTTCTCTTTTACCAAACGGCATGTAATAGGACTGAACATAGAGAAAGGAGGAGGAAAAATAGCAGAATGGAACAATTCTTGGCATTTTTGCAAAACTGGATTTCTTTGACTTCTGGAAGAACAGGGAAAAAAAAAACCAACAACTATGCCTTAATTTCTAGAACCCTCGTAACTGTTTAGATGTCACTGACAGTTGGCCAGATTCATTTTGCTGTATTATCAACGTTATTCATTTCTTCAAATAAGACTGGTGGATAAGACCTGAAGTCTTGCCCTCTCAGAGCAAACTATGTGATGGGACTTGAAACAGTTACCTAGTAAACCTCCTCGGGCTGTAGAGCTGTGCAAGGAAATAAAAGTGCGTAGGTATTGTAGGTTAGGAAATGGTTTTGAAATGCTCCTATTCCAGCTGAGTACGGAGGGGCTGTCTGTCATGTTGCTGAATGACTGGATTAGGCCTGCTGTGCTGTTTCTGGGCAAGTTCACCATATTTGAACGTCAGGGCTGTGAATGTGGCAGTAGCTGTTGCTATATAGACCCAGTGAATCAGGAAGTTTGTGAGACAACAGAAATGAGGTCAGGCAGAGAGCGGGCAGTGCTATGACTCCAGTGGGAGCAGTGCAATGGCTGGACCTGCCTGTAAAAATAATTGGTACACGGTAAGGGTGAAGCTGTGACTTGCAGACACATTTGAATCCTGTTGTAGCTAAGCACTGATGAAATACTGATGCCAGGCAACCTTCAGGATAGCTGTTAGGAATATTATGAATATACAAGCACATTATAAATGCCTTTGTTCTGGAATAAAGATGCAGGAAGTGATGCTCGTAGCAATGCCGCAGAATAACATTCTCCTTTGTGTAATTTAGCTCTTAATTGGGGGGGAAAGCAGCATCAATTTAGGCTCAAAGTAAATGAGCCTTTGTAGAACTCTTTGAAGCCAAGTCTTTTTGAGCACTGCCACCTAATCAGACTTTGCTTTCCCATTTTATCTCTTGTCTTCTACTTCAGCTGTGTGTGCACTTCTGAGTTTTTTCCCCTTGAGTTGTTAGAGAAGTTATGCTTCTGGTTAACCCCTCTTTCTTCATCTGTCAAGGTAAATTGTTGTCTCAGCAGGCTTGGAGATATGTTTTAAAACTGAATCTGGATTACATTTATACCTTTTGGTAAAAACATGGGGATGAGGGGTCATTGGATTATCTAAAATTTGCTGTTATATGTATATTTGCTCTGATGTCTGATTCCAGCTATTTCTCAGAGCAGTTACTTGTGACTTCTGCCATTTTCCTTTTGTAGAAATCTAGCTTTCACACTTTGACATCAAATTGGTGACAGTTTTACCTGACCCTTCTTTAGAAGTTCTGGCTTTCAAACATCCTGGGGAAAAGAAAGCTTACTTCTAATCTTGCCACTGTCTTTGAAGTGTATGCATGAAATCTTTCTTTTTTTTTTTTTTCCATTCTTTTAAGGAAATAATATACTAATAGACATGTAAAATTTATGAAAGTGTTCTTTTGCATTTTTTCTTTTTTTAAATGCCAACTGTGGCCAGACAGTGTTTCTCCTTCTGTAGCACTAAAAGCATCCATCTGAAATCCAGCATTAATTTGGTCTGAAATGGAGTAATACACATTTAAAAATCTGAATGTGAAAAATGATGTTCTTGTATGTCTGTTTTATTTCAGGAAGATGTGGAAACTGGAGTCCATCTTGATCCTGCTATTAAGGAGGTTCAGTACAATCCTACTTATGAGACCATGTTTGCACCTGAGGTAAGAAACAATGCTGATATTTACAGCAGAAATGTATTTCACTTAGAGGCTCTGTAATTCTCACGTGGAAGTCAAATAAGACATATTTTCTTTGAATACCTGCTCTAGTTAGGAATCTAGTTTGGGCAAACTGTAAGAAGATTATATATAGGTACACAGGTGCTAATTTTAATGCTTGAATTCTAATATTCTGAGGAAAACTGTTCTAAGAAACAGTGATTATCAGGATGAGAACTATGAAAATTTAAAGTTGAGACTTGGAAAACATAAAAAATGTTGAGTAAAACAAACAGCATCGAAGTAGTCTCTTAACATTTTCACATTTTTCCTATTTACTCATGGTACTTAGCAAAATAAATTGTTGTAAGTCTAGCGGATATATTGTTTATAAGGTTTGAAATCAAAATCTTAGTTACTTCCAGTATAGCTATTTGCATCCAGTGTTGTTTCAGTAAGTTAAGATTTTCTAATGTGTAGGGTAGGAAACCACTTTAGGCTTAAGTTGGATAGCCTAGTGCTATGTGAACCACTTTCTATTTTATAACTGCCAGGCTATCCAAAGGATAAAAATAGCTGTTCAAGCATTTAACTTTTTTGCAGTATTTAACTTCTTTGTATGGTTTGCCTGTTGTGAGATCAGAGGCTAGCATTCCAGGTAGATAAAAGCCTGTCTTTTTCTTGAATTATTCATGCTGTCTAAGATGACCCTGCTTCAATCTGAAATTTCTGCATCGTTTGTACTTTACATTTAGAAAACATTTTGTGGAACCACATAAACTGATCCTTTCATAGTAAAGTAGCATTTTGCAACTTCCAGCAAGTTGTTTCAAATCCATAAGATATGTGAGGAAAAAATACTGATTTAAAATTACTACAGTCTTATCTTGTATGAGTGTTAGAGAAGCCTAATGTGGAACCGTCTCAGGTGGCTGTGAACGTGATTGACAAGCACAGCACTTATATTTAAATGTAGTTTGATACTAGTCTGTGTATTGTATGTGTTTGCATTCATGGTTTCAATACTTTTGCTTGTCTGTGGTATGTTCAGGAAGCCTTTAGCATTTGTCATCTTGCAAGAAGAAAGCAAGGCAGAGTTTCATGTTTATTCTTGAATAATACAGCAAGTCCCTAGTTGCTTTTTACATGCATGAAAATGTTGTTGGAAGTGTAATTTCTGTATGAGCTACACGAGTTTTATAGGACTTGTTCCTTATAGGGAACAATACACTGTAGTTTTGTGTTTTGAACGTGCTTGAACTGACCACATAATGAATAGAAATCTTTTGTGTCGAGTAGTTGATACTGATTTGTCTTCTGTAGTGGTAATAAAGGCTAGAAAGTTTAATCATAAAATAGGCTGTTCAGGCTGTGATAGTGATCTACGACTGATTCAGTGGACTTAAAGAAATAGAAAGAAACAGGAAGCTGAAGTGGTTTATCGTTACCTTTTTTTGAAATACAAAACTTTTATTCTCCCCATTTTTTGTGTTTCTGTTTCGTTTTTGTTTGCTTTTCTTTCCCAAAAACACATGCATAAAAATAACAAATTAGTAACTCTGATTTACTTCTCTTAATGTTATTGGTGTAGTTTGGACCAGAAAACCCATTTAGGACTCAGCAAATGGCTGCACCTAGAAATATGCTCTCTGGATACGCAGAGCCAGCTCACATCAATGACTTCATGTTTGAGCAACAACGAAGGACATTTGTAACCTATGGTAAGTCCTTAATAGTGATATCCGTATGGGGAAAAGTTTTTGAATGAGAATCCATATTGCTGTAGATCATAGTATTTACTTGGGTGATCTCATTTTGTAATTCCTTTTGAAACTGTAATCAAGTGCACAATCTTCTACAGAAATGCTCTTAATGAATCCCTTTGTTAGCTAAATCTGTGTAGAGAAAACAAATCAAAATTCCATGTTTTCAATGTGAGAAATAATTGAAGATCTTTTATGCAAATAGATTTCTTCACATGATTCTAACTAAAGGTAGTTTCTCACAAAGCAAAAAGAAAGCCATATTAAATTGTGTAGTTCTTCAGTGGTTGCTTATTGTAGATGCAAGTTGGATGAATGGGAATTGGATGAATGGGAATTGGACTAAGTGAGAGTGCATTTGCTGGAGTGTTTCTAGCACAGACACAACCAAGGATGTGTCTTCGTGTGGATGGTCACAGTTGCTGCTTTCTCATCTTGAATCTTTTCACCTGTAATCTGTTGCATTTGAAAAATGAAAGATTGAGTATCGGAGGAGTTTGAGTATCAAATGAATCGGCTTTTTATGGATTGTATGAAAAATGTATTTTTTTATAAGAAACATACTGAAAAGTATGTATTGTAAGCATTCTTTTGGTCACGTTTGAAGGAATGAAACCTCCATGTATTGACATATAACTGTGATTAATTTTATTCTTTGTTACATGATAAGCTTTTATTTCTGTTTTTCGTTAAACTTGACTACAAATGCTTGTCTTGCAAACATAAATGTTTGTTTTCAGGTGAAGTCTGACTTTGTATTCTTCAAATTCAGTCTACTAAGCAAGTTCTACTGCTTGTTGTGTAGATTATAGTGTCACAGAAGTCAACTTGGGGGCACAAAAAACCTTGTGGTTTCCTTTTTTATTTGTATTTGTACTCTGAAGAGTATTCCCTGCAGACTCATGTCTGAAAAACTCCTTCCTTTATTGCTAGCGTCAGTGGGAGCCAGGTACTATACCTAAACTTGGAAGAAAAAAATTACCTAAAGTCAGAGACTATAATATACTCAATTTCTCTTTGTATTTGGATTTTATTAGAGATAACCCTGTAAATGCTAAATATAAAATCTTTTTATTTCATTTTATATTTATATATTTACACAATTTTAGCTAATAAGTACTTCTCAGTTAGGATGTAGAATGTAAGCAAAATGAAGATATTAAGAAATAGATGTTTCCTGTAGCATAAATTTAAGTTACTTTACTGCAATTTTGATACTAAAAGTTGGCAGGCTGTGCAGGTAGGAGCTTACTCAGGGTCTGAGCAGGTTAGGTTTTGGTCACTGAAATTAAAGGTTGCACTTTGTGGGTTGTGCATTTTGTGTGTGCTTTAAATGCATGCTGGAAAAAAGGGTTGGATATGTTGTTTAGTTGGTTGTTTTTTGGAGGGGCAAGCATTGCAAAGTTTAGTTTGGGGGAGAGTAGAACTAACAAAACTGCCCAAAGCTCTCACTGTTGATTTATATTTATGTAATGCACAGCAACTGCTTTAAAGGCTTTGTTACATGAGTATAAAAATATTTTTAAGACTGATAACACTGGCAAGTGTGCAACTATCATATTAGCTTTCTAGAAATGTTCAGCAGATAATGATCTCAGTACAGTGAAAATAGAGCTATGAAAAGGCTGAGATAGTTTAAATTGCAAGAACTAGCCCTGAGAAGCTAAAGTTCAAACTAGAATGTGCAGCAAATGATTGTGTTTTCTTGAGTCACTAGAAGGTTTTTTGTGAGCTATTTAAAAATAGTATTTGTTTAAGTTGTCAGAAAGTTGCCTTTTAAAAACATTGACATTCTCTTTTCCATTTCAAAAGGAGGTCACAAATATCTTGTTGAAAAATACAAGCACAGAAACACGAATATAGTTGCTGGGCATAAATCTAATTCATTTGTATTTGTAATGACTAAATCTTAGCATATTGCTGGAACAGAAAGTAAATTTCTCAATTGAAAGCTGGAGATCTTGAGAGCTCTGGCCCCTGTTAGGCTGCTTGATGGCAGGAGGCCTTAAATCTGCAATGGCTAGCATGTAGGTTATCAACAGCCGTAAATGAAGGACAACTGTGGTACATGACAGAGAAGCTGATAAATGAGGTCATGTATCCAAAACAGGTCAATGCTGCAGTGTCTGCACCTTTATATGGGAATTTGTTGTTGTCTTTTCTTACTATTTTAAGGAAGGGAACTTGTTTGTTTGTTTTTTAAAGGTAGTTTTACCTATCATCTTGAAAGGTAATGTGTCTTAGGTGGGAAACCTCTATATTAGTCAGAGACAAAGCCCAAGTATGTTTCAGCACAGTCTTTCCCATGTACTTCTTCTGCAGTAAATATTTCCAGTTGTAAGTGCTTTTTCCATTTGATGCTTGGATAGAACAGAATGTTCATGCTGTAGCTGAAGAAGGGTCAGGATGAATCTCAGTCAAGATCCTCTTAGACAGGAAGGCAACAGTGGATACCTAAAGAGGAACAAGAGAAAGAGGCAAACAAGTAGCAGTGTATCTGTGTTCATTTTTGCTAATCAGTTGACCATGTAAAGATGTGGGGTGTTTTCAAAGTGTCTTTGAGGTACCCTGTAATCAATTTAACTCAGTTTCATAAAGATATCCATCATTTACTGTGAGGGTGGTGAGACACTGGAACAGGTTGCTCAGTGATGTTGTGGATGTCCCCTCCCTGGAAGCGTTGAAGGCCAGGCTGGATGGGGCTGTGAGCAACCTGGTCTAGAGGAAGGTGCATTGAGTCAGTTTTAAGTGAGAGTTTTTATGCTGGGATTTGGCTTCAGATCTCTTGGGTGAACACCATCTGCTCCTGGGTCTTACCACTCATCTGACTCTTTAGTCTCCTGACATTTCATTCTGAAGTAACACTGTCATATTACCCGTAAAGAAAGGTTCTAGCACAAGAGCCTCCCCGAACTCCTCCATATACAGCTACTTTGGTTTTTGGTTTTTCACATATTTGGATGCAACTTCAGTACTGTGCTGTTCAGTTGTGCTCACTTTCCCTCTCATCTCTTTTAAGTCTTTTAATAGCTGGCAGGCAGTAGTTCTTTTTCTCCAATGCACTATCCTTGAAATGTCCCTGCATTTAGAACAGGCTCTATCTTTGAGGCTTACTTTCTGTTCCTTTTTAAAGTCTTCTCTGTTTTGTGTAGCTCTCCTGGTTTGAGTTTAAGATCATTGTAGTAAATGTTTTTATGGCTTTTTTCTTCTTCAAAAACGTTGATTTATTCTGTATTGTAGTCACAGAATCACAGAATCACAGAATCACTAAGGTTGGAAAAGACCTATAAGATCATCCAGTCCAACCATCCACCTGTCACCAATGGTTCTCATTAAACCATATCCCTCAACACAACATCCAAACGTTCTTTGAACACCTCCAGGGTCGGTGACTCCACCACCTCCCTGGGCAGCCCATTCCAGTGCCTGACCACCCTTTCAGAGAAGTAGTATTTCCTAATATCCAGCCTGAATCTTCCCTGGCGAAGCTTGAAACCATTCCCTCTAGTCCTATCACCAGTTACACGAGAGAAGAGGCCGACCCCCAGCTCGCTACAACCTCCCTTCAGGTAGTTATAGAGAGCAATAAGGTCTCCCCTGAGCCTCCTCTTCTCCAGACTGAACAATCCCAGCTCCCTCAGCCGCTCCTCATAAGGCCTGTGCTCCAGACCCCTCACCAGCTTTGTTGCCCTTCTTTGAACACGCTCCAGGGCCTCAATGTCTTTCTTGCAGTGAGGGGCCCAGAACTGGACACAATACTCAAGGTGCGGCCTCACCAGAGCTGAGTACAGGGGAACAATTACTTCCCTACTCCTGCTGGTCACACTGCTTCTGATACAAGCCAGAATGCCATTGGCCTTCTTGGCCACCCGGGCACACTGCTGGCTCATGTTTAGCCAAGCGCCAACCAACACCCCCAGGTCCATTTCCTCTACACAGTCTTCAAGCCATTCCACCCCAAGCCTGTAGCGTTGCTTGGGGTTGCTGTGGCCAAAGTGTAGGACCCGGCATTTGGTCTTATTAAACCTCATCCCATTGGCTTCAGCCCAGCTCTCCAGCCTGTCCAGATCTCTCTGTAGGGCCTCGCTACCCCCAGGCAGATCGACACTTCCAGCCAACTTGGTGTCATCTGCAAACTTACTGAGGGTGCACTCAATGCCCTCATCCAGGTCATCAATAAAAATATTGAAAAGGACAGGCCCCAGCACCTGTTAGTCACTTTTAAAACGTGTATCCTTAGTAAAAATGTCCTAAAGTCAATCTTCCTGCACTGCTCAATTGACTTATTTTCTCTTGAATCTCTAAAATGACTGCTTCACAGGGCAGGTATGTCATGTAAGAATGTTGTTTTCAGCCCCTCTTAATGTAACTGCAGTCCAATACTGTGCCAGAGGTACCAGAGATATTCTAGTAATAATTTTTTATTTTTACTGTGGTTCTTTGCCTAGCACCTTTGTTATCATCTCATGCTTATTGTCTTTTCTGGCTGAGCAGTCAGTGATGATATCCTGGCAATTTTACTTGCCACTACCTAAGCCTAGAATTTCAGTCCAAAGGATTTTCTAATGCTTGTTAGCATTATTAAATTGTTAATCTGAATTGGTTTTAACCTCTCTTCAACAGCATGTTTTTTCCCTGCTGTTGAGACATTCTTATTTTTACATGCTTGAGAGTGCATTCTGTACAATTATGGCAATATTGTTCTACCAATTGTGAATTCTAAATTCTGAATTTAGAGCAAGATGTTCAGATTCCATTGTTTATTATGTTTTAGCTTCTGCTATTTTGTATGCATGCTCAGGTCTTCTGATTCTCTGGGCCCAGTTTAAGTAGGATCCTGTGCTTATTGCTGTCCCTTTTATCTGAGTTTTCAAATTCCTGTGCTATACCTTTTGCTTGAGGATGTATCTTAAATTTAAGTCTTTGTCTCATTCCAGATTGCTTATTTTTCTTTAACCATTGTCCTTCCCCAGATATTTAGTCACAAAGCGCTCTTTGATTCTTCACAGAATGCCCCGTCCCTGGAGGTGTTCAAGGCCAGATTGGATGGGGCCCTGGGCAGCCTGGTCTAGTATTAAATGAGGAGGTGGTTGGCCCTGCATGTGGCAGGGGGTTGGAGATTCGTGATCCTTGAGGTCTCTTCCAGCCCTCACCATTCTGTGATTCTGTGATTCTGTGACAGTGCCAGTAACCTGTTTAAAGTAGATAAAACCTACCCATCTTACTAAGGTTCACTTCATTCCAGAAACTTGGGAATGTATTATTGACATTATTATTATTGACTGGAAATATTTTCCAGATTGGGTTTAAAAATTGCAACTTCTCTTTGCAGTGAGCAGCCTGTTGAGAATGATCTGCCCTTCCTTCACATGTTTGATACAAATTCAGAAATTCTATAACCATAATCAAGTCACTGCTCTGCAGCCCATGGAAAACAGGAGAGCATACTGAATGCACTTCTCAGATCTCTGACAGATCAAGCTGATTTCAGCTTCTTTATCAAGAATGTCTCTATGGTACCAGCACTTAGCAATCAGATGCCTGTCTTTTTAATACAGAATGCTGTAGTTCAGCCATATAACATGCCATAGCAAACGTCAAGTCTTAGACTGGTTTGGTGGTTCTCTATTTTTTCTTCACAGTGGATCTACAAGCTGTCATTTTACCCCTGAACTGAGGAGGTTCTTTGTAATGCAAGCTTGCTTCTCCTATCTTTCAGACTCCCTGACAGTTGTCAGGGGATGCACAGGTCAGATATCTATAGAAAACACCTTGAAACCAGAGATCTAGTCAGATCTTTTGATCTGAGTCAAAATTGCTTTGAGGTCTTTCATGATGCACTTGTCTGCCATATTTCTGTACTTTTTTTTTCATGTTTTTAAAATCTACAAACTTGCAGGGTTTTTTTCATGAGTATGATAGTAGAGGTTTTACTGATGCCACCCTGAGCCTTCTGTGCTGCACGCTTTAACTCCATCTTATGTTTCTGTCAACATAAGTTAGATAGTCTTGTCAAGCCATGGGTTGTTGTTGCTTTTAATGTTTCACATATCAAAACTACCTCTGTGCCCATCCATTCTGTTCTCCTCTCTTCATCCCTTTTTAGACCACAAGCACATTTTGCCAGTCTCTGCTAGGCCTTCCTCCAGGCCCATTCTCATTCACGTTACAGTTTATATGTGTGCTTTCAGCGTAAAGGGTTGTTACAAACTTTTTTACGTACGGAACAGAAAATGTTCATTGGTGTGAACATACCTGGTGGGCATACCCTATGAGGAGAGACTGACTACGTTGGGATACCCAGCCAGAAGAAAAGGAGGCTGAGAGGGGACTTCCCTGCTCCCTGCAGCTCTCTGAGGAGGGGAAGCAGAGAGAAGTATCTGGCTCTGCTCCCTGGCACCAATGGCAGGATGGAGGGCGTCAGATGGGCATTGGGATACATTTCTTTGCCACGAGGATGATCAAACACTGGAACAGGCTGCCCTGGTAGGTGATGCCCCAATGCTTGTCAGTGCTCAAGAGACTTCAGGAAAATGCCCTCAGTAACATGCTGTAAGTTTTGATTTGTCCTGAAGTGGTCAGACAGTTGTACTCGGTGATCATTGTAGATCAGTTTGAACTGAACAATTCTGTTCTATTAATATGGTTAAAAAATAATAATTTCATACCTATTTCAGCCTCTATATTATGCTGGAACTGAACTACTTCATTCATGCAGCATTTAGTATTCTAAAGCCTCTCTTTCACAAGATATTAATGTCTTATTAAATAATAAGCAGTCTTCTGTCCATGAATTTCAAAGCTCTTTATGAGTATTCTGTAACTGTTAAAAAGGATTAGTGTATCAGTAAGATTGATACTGTGAAGCTTAAAATGACTTGAAAATTACACTTCTGTGTGATTTTTTTTGTATGCTCACACGCAGTGCCTGCAATCACTGTTAGCTTTTGCAGTTGTTGACATTTTATTCCCAGGTTGCTTTATTCTCAAGCCAGGTCATTCAGAACTCAGACCAGCTCTATTGTTTCACGTATGTGAGCTACCTTGAGTTCCTCTGTGCTGCACTGCACAATACAACATAAACTTACTTGAATTTACTGTCATTTTGGAATGCACATTGAAGCCTGATTATTTAACCAACCATTTTCAGATGCACTGCAGTAATGGATGTAGGTGGAATTGTACCTTTCTGTGCTGAAGTGTAGCATGAAATATCTCCCTCCTAAATGAAACTGGAGGAGATGTAGGAGTGAAGGCACGTTATATATACCAGCTGAGTAGGATAAAAGCAAGCTGTCTTTTGCAGCTGCGTTTAGGAGTCTCAGCCAGAAAGAAAAGATTCTCTTTCACATACCCACTAGAAAGTAGAAATTGTTCAGAGCTTTTCTATGACAGTGATGCTGGACCAAATTCAATCCAGCTATAAGAAGTCTCCACTTCCACGGGAAGCTGTGCTTGGCCCAGGGTCCCTTATTCATTAGAATACTGTCCCTCTTTTACAAGTACTGAGCAAATAGAGTCCCAGAGTCTGTCAATACAGTTGGAGGACAAGAAAACCACTGTATTGATTTTGACATAAATCCAAAGTAATATCTCTCTGCTGTTAATAGAAACCAAGCTATAAGCTTGGAAAAGAACTCACTGATATACTGCCTTAATAAAAGCAGGCAGTTAAATTAGTGTAAGTCTGATTACAGTGTCTGCTCAGTTTGGTTATCCATGTAAGTAAAAATCTTCTAGGACAGCAGTGTGTCTGAGAAGTGGCTGGGGATGGTCTCCTTTGGCTGTTGGGCTGGTGTTGATAGGTTCGCAATGTGTTTGCATCTAAGTGTTTTTATAAACTATTGGTCTTTGGGAGTCAAAGGTTAATCTTCCACTGCTTATGATTTTCATAATTGTTTCTGTGAATCGACAGAAATGTAAGAATTAATTTGTACACTGTAAGATTTCTGTGGATTTGTGTGTGGTTACTTCTACCAGTGGTAAAATTTACTTCTCTTTCATTGCTTCTCTTTCCTTTTTATTTATTTTTTTCTTTCTGAGATGAAGGAATTCTCTATGGGTTCTCAAGAGGCAGTTTGTCATTTGAGTTTAATAAAAAATGGCGCTGTGTCCACCAGGGTGCAGTCTTAAACAAAAAAAAAAAAAAAAAAAGCCACAGTGGTCAGTAAACCTTCAGTAGCCCTCTACCTTGGAAACCACATGAAGTTATTTGTATTTCATGGAAGCTTATGCCTATCTGCTTCAGGAGAAATGGAGAGAAAGTGTAAGAGATGCATATTAAAATGAGAATCTCAGAATAAAAAAAAAGTGAATTATCCTGAATATCTACAAAAATGCTAATACATTTTATAAATTATTTATAAGAGTAAATGCAGCAGGTTGTTGGTGTGGGTTTTTTTTTTTGCTTTTTTTTTTTGCTTTTTAACAAGACTCAATAGCAGTAATCAGGAAATGACTATGTGAATGCTTAATTCTTTTAAAAATTAAAGGCTATTGCTGCTGCTTCTGGTACATTCCATGTTAGTTAAAGCAACTGCTTTCATGTGGAAGGAACAAGCTTTTCCAGCCATGATATGAGGATGAAATCATTTCTGCGGGGAGGCACACAGAATATGCACCAAGCCCTAGAAAACTTCACTTGCTTCCATTCCTCTTTCGTATCCCTGCCCTCTTCCTTTTGGCTGGTTTCAGTGCAACTTACTGCTTTTGCCCTGAACTAAAGCAGCACCCAATTAAAATCATGCATTGCTGACAGTAAATTTACAGTTAAATCTTTCCTTGACTCTAGAAAACAAAAGTAGGCTGCTATGACATTCCAGAAAGTAATGTTTTGTATTGTAGCAGGCTGGTCTGAGTTTAGTGTTGACCTTGCTTGAAGCAGGGTGCTGGGCTATAGAGGTCTCTTGGGAGGCCGGAAAGATTCTGAAGCCTCACTCTTGTGATGTGAACTGTTGTGTATTGTATGTATTCTCTATTGTGCAGAATTAAGCATTCTGGTTGCAAGGCATGCACAGAGACCTCATGGCAGGGGATTTAGACTAGATAATCTTTAAAGGTCCCTTCCAACACAAGCCATTCTGTGGTAACACATTGTACTAACTACAGTACTGAGGTCAAGTGATTAGTGAATGAAATTTCAAAATATTTATCCTTCTTCATTCTGAGCTCCCTCAGTGCCAACTGGAAATAATTTTATGGACTTAGTAGGAAGGCACACAAAAGTTGCACAAAAATCAGAGGTCCAGAATAACATTTATTTTGTTATCTTGTTCCAGGTTATGCATTAGACCCCTCTATAGACAACCCTGAAGTTGCTACCAAGTATATTGGCTCTGTAGAAGAAGCTGAAAAAAATCAAGGTAAGTATTTCAGAATCTTATATAAACTGATGGCTATTTCCTTCATTTCTTCACTAAGAAATGGAGTAGGTATTGGCAGAGGAGGGAATTATGAGAGACTTACCAATGATGATGTGTTGCACATCAGAGATATAGGGGGAATTTGTTTTCCTGAAGTAGCAAATATGTCAGGCTATCTTTAGAACCTCTTAGGTGTCACTGAACGAATAGAATTGATCTGTATATATGGAACAGAGCTTTTTGGTCCTCTTCAATTGTGCCTTGATCCAGGTTGTGGTGTGTCTGCATTAGGATGTTGGTATGCTATGGCTAACTAACAACTTACACTACGCTACCCAGTAGCAAACTGAGGGTTCTGTGAGCCACCTTTAGCACTTCTGTTGGGGATTGCAAGTTATCTCTGCTAAGAGGAGTTAAACTGTTTGGAAAAGAGAAACCATTGGAAGGTTGCCAAGTGGTAAAGGCATAGCATTCCACTGAGAGAACTGACTACCAGAGGCATGGCGCTTGTAATTAGTACATTGATGCAAGATATTCAACAATAAAAGTGACTTCATGGTTAATTTTTTTAAAACTTTTTATTTGCATGTATATATGAAGCTTCTTTATTTCTCTGTTCTCGTCCATGGAATATGAAGAAGGTTACCTCACTCATTCCTTCCAAGCAATTGAAAATAGGTTTATTTTGATATATAGCAATTATATTAGATAGAAATGGCTAAGGCTAAATCACTTCAAAAGTAAAATATATTCTTCTGTTACTGCAATTTTTGTCATTTATTTTAATAAAATTCCTGACTGCAATATAGCAATCTCTCATATGACCGTTGTTTTTAACTTCTACGTTGCCTATTTTCCTTTGTTTACAAAAAATCCTTTTTGTCTCCCTTGCCCTAGAGGAGCATTACTGATGCTGTAGGAAAGCATTATGAAAACTGTGCATGAAAACTGCACGCTGGTTTTGATGGATGAAGTTCTGAGGGCACAGAATTTGTGATAAGCTAACTTTTATATGAAAGAATAGGATAGTGTTCTGACTGAATTAAAACACACAGTTGGAATTGGGATTTAGGGAGATCTTTGTGTTGTTTTTGTTTTTTTTTAAGTTTTGTCCTTGTGGATTTTGTTTGAAACTGAGAGAGGTGGAGGGAGTCAGAAGCCAGTTGTTCAGGCTCTAATTTTTCAAAGTCTGCACTGTTTAAAGTATGAAAATCGATACATTCATGCAGTCTGCAGACTTAGTGCTACAAATGCATGGGCACATGTTTGATTAAATACTAGTTTAAGTGGCTCTTCTGTTACTGTACATGGCTAGCAGTGTTCGTAACCTAATAAGTCAGCAGTGCTTGGCCCCTAAGTGTATTCTCCATTTCCTGTGTGTGTTGGATGGAGTGATGGTGATAGTGTTGTTGGATTTATTTCTTGTTATTGTTTGTTTTAGATTGATGTGATGAGACCTGTGGTGTTGAGGTGTGTTATCTGTGCGAGCAGCTAAGCAGTGTGTTATTTCTTTCTCTAGGTTTAACAGTGTTTGAAACGGGACAAAAGAAAATTGAAAAAAGGAAGAAATTCAAGGAGAATGATGCATCTAACATTGATGGTTTCCTGGGACCGTGGGCAAAGTATGTTGATGAAAAAGAAGTAGCCAAACCTTCAGAAGTAAGTACTACTTTAACACTGTAAGCACAAACTGCTAGTGCATTGTGGTGCAATAATATATTATGTGGTGGTTTTAACAGAGATCCAGTGTGTCTCAACCAGAAGGTGTGCTTTAGGGTGATAGAAACATTTCTGGTTCTGAATTTGAATAGGGTGTTCTGAATGTTGTGCATTTAATTATTTGAAAGACTGGAAATAAAATGAATTGTATCAATGTGTCACATGTAGAGTCTGGCAAAAGATCCTTATAAACAGGAGCAACTTGGAAAGGACTGAACGTAAATTTGTACTTGTTTATTTTAAGAAAAAGGGAAGGGTGTTTTTTTTGTTTTTTTTTTTATTTTAAAAGCAACTACCCAACCAATAAATGTCCTTCACATTGAATCAGTGATGCTTAGCCAAATAAAAAGATTATATTTAATTACTTTCAGCGTACTTAGCTTTTCAAGCTAATGTTTTCAATAAAGGTATTCTATTGATGCTCAGAACTATTTCTGATCTCACTTAGCAAATACGTGTATTCTTAAAAGCAAGTAAACAGTAATGCAATTTTGGATTTTGTTATGTCATTCTGAACATTTAATTTTTTAAAAGTCAAGATCATGTTTTATTTTTCCAGGAAGAACAGAAGGAGTTGGATGAAATAACAGCTAAGAGGCAGAAGAGAGGAAAACTAGAAGATGATAAACCTGGAGAGGAGAAGACTATATTACATGGTAATGGCATCTTCCTGCCTGTTCTCATTTTCCTGCTCGCTGTGTTTTCTTGCCTGCTGTGTTAATTAGTAAGGATGGCAGACAGCCTCAGCAAAACTGCTGAGGCACCTTGATGTTTCTGTTTTGGAGATAATGGCATTTACAGGCATAAGCATAAAGGGCAGGGAAAGAGATAAGCTTGGACCAATTCCACAACATACTGTGAAGAGCAGTGTGGAAATGTCATCTTTCAGGTTTTATTTATTTATTTTTAATGTTACTAGGTATGCATATCTTCCTAATTTACAGAGCAAAAAAAAAAAACCTGAGATTATGTGCTTGGTTTAGTCTGAGCTTCAGAATGACTACAGTTTTGTCTTTTGGTACTTTAATCAGCAAATAGCGCTTTGAATTACAAACATACAATTTGGAAAATCACTTGGACCCTGTACTTCCTCAGTTCTTAATGTGAACATTCTTGCTATGAATAATTATTTATCAAATGATTACCCTGTTGAGGCCTATAGCATACCTTCAAAGAAAATTGTAAGAAAATGGTAAGTAGGTAAGATTAAGTGATTTTTGGAAACTGTCATCTGTGTGCAAAACAGTGTGTGGCATTGCTTGGCACAGGTAGTTAGCACCTGTCTTTGTATACCATCACCTAAAGTTTCACAATCAGAGTCCTTGCAAGATAAATTTTAATCTTCTCAAACTGAAGCCTTCCAGAAAAAAAGCACTGTTTTGTATACACCTTTGTTCTGGCAAGCCTTCTGCTCACCATTAATGCTGAGCAGAAGGTCATCTGTAAAAGCAAAACTGTCATATCAATATCCAAGAAACAGAAATTAATTAAATCAGTGCACAGCTTAATGTCATGGCTACTCAGCAGAGAAGTCTATTTTGGAATATCAATTTATAGGACAATGCACTCTGCATGTGTGAGCATCCAGCCATTTCTGTGAAATGTAGTTAAAGAACAGCTGTTAGCTTCTGACTGCTGTTGGTTGCCCAGTTGCTTGACATTGGTGATGGATCTTCTTTCCTCTGGTTTGCAATTCTGCTGAAATGACTGTTGAAGCACAGAGCTGTGTGGGAAGTAATTTGCAAGCAAATGCCAGAGTTAGAGTGCAGGTTATTATCTGTGTACATTTAGTATGAGCAAACCCTTATTGTCCTCAGGAACACTTGCATTTTGAGGTAAGTTGGGCAAGGGGGAGATCATTTTGTTCAGATTATCGGATTCCAAGCAGATTTGCTGAAATGGCTTAATTTGAGCACAACTGATGTCAAATAAGAATCCATAACCTATGAAGTGGGTTGATTTTCTTCTCATCCCTCTTCCCACCCTGCTTCAGGGCAAGACAGCTGTGTTGAAGAAAAGCCTTAAATATGTGTCAGTTGAATCTTCCTCTTAAAATACAATCTCTCCAATTCTCAGAATTCTCCATTTCCCTTTTTAGTTAAGGAAATGTATGACTATCAAGGGAGATCTTACCTTCATGTTCCTCAAGATGTTGGAGTTAATCTCCGTTCTACAATGCCACCTGAGAAATGCTATCTTCCAAAGAAACAAATCCATGTATGGTCTGGACATACAAAGGTAGGAGAAGTTTTGGAGTGTACCTCATAAAAATGCACTTTGTTTTGTATCTGAACTTCTATAAAACTGAAGCATCAGTATAAGAAATGAATGCTTTTTCTCATTTATGACATTGTGCACACAGTTGGCAGCATTATACACCCACACAAGGTGTTCACATGGTCGGATGTGATTGTTTCTGATACCTGTATAAACTTTTTCATGAACATAGTGACTTCCCAACATCTTTTGAAGAGATGAATATTCTTCAATCACCTTTGTGGGATTTTGAGTTATTTACTAAATTGCTATGTGAACAAGAGCAAGACTAATTCTAGAGATAACTGAAAATGCATTTGTACAGTAAAAGTACTGAAATGCTGTTTCACATCAAACCTATGAAAAGTTGAATAGGTTTTGTGATTATAATAGATAAGCATTACAGGATTCCCAAATAAAATTATTAACTTGTTTTCAGTTTTCCCTTATGTTACTTCATGTTCATAGTTTCTTCTTGTGTCAGACAATGTAACTAAACACACATTTTTAATGTTAAAACTTGTTTCAATGATCAGATCCATAAAGCCTATATTCAGTTTGCTGCTTCTTCCATCTCTAATTTTCAGTATTATGTCAGGGAATATACTGTGCTGCAGTGGGCAGCAGCTTAATGATACCCAAAAGATGGAAGAAAGGAGACCAGGCTTTTGCCTTTTTTTGTTGAGTCACAGCTCTGTATTTTTCTTTAGTAACTGCTGCATCAAAGAAGTTGTAGTTACAAGTATCAGTGTTTTCCAGAATAACATCTCCTCCCCATAGCTCTAGTCACTCCTTTGCCTATTATTCTATCAGAACAGACTGATGCATAAATAAGGCTTTGTGCTTTTTTCCTTCAAACAACCGGACAAATTACAGAATGGAGAAGCAAAAGGAAGAAGGACTGAGAAAGATTAAAAAAAAATAAATAAAAGTGGGTAGACTGCAACTCCAACTGGAGTGGGAGAAACTAGGTGGAATAAGAACAGAGTAATTGACACATTATGGAAAGAAGAGATGTAAAACTATGAGTACCTGGCAGTTCTCTAGATGTCTTTTGTAAAGATGACCTGAAATACAGACAGATGGAAGGATACTGTGCCCAGGGAATCTGGTGTTCAGTGGCTACAAGCCAGTATATATAATAAGTGGAGCTGGCTAGAAATTTTCTTGTGGAATACTTCTGCATGTCCCACCTGAAAAGGCTATTTGCTAGTTGAAATAATCAAACAGGAACATCAGAAAAACAGGGCTTTCAACCTGCATAGTCCTCCTGTCAATCTAAAGCACATGTACTGGCCAGCCCGGGCAGAGCAGGTTGACTGGTGGCTTTTTGTATTTTTTTACTGGAGAAGTAGCACTCATATTACTTGTGGGAATACCACAGGCCATCTGAGTGGAGATACGGAGACACGACAGCATTTGCAGCTTCAGAACCTGTAAATGCTTCTGGGGATGCCTGTGTTGGATGTGGCCTCAGGGACTACTTTAATACACCAGTGGTACTGCTGCCATGATGGAACTGCTGCCATGTTGTATTTAAAACAAACAAAACTGAACAGGACTTGTTCAGAAAACAGTATATGGCAAAGAAAGCAGGAAAGGATTCTATTAGAGCAGTGTCTGTTTAAAGCAGTCACCTTAACCCACAATTTATTTGATGTGATTACCACAGTAATGGTGTGAGTGTTGAGAAGGGACTGTGGAGAAGCTTTAGGGTGTATGTTTATACAGATATTGAAGTGAATCAATTTGTTGCCAGTAACAATTGTTAAAAATGCATCTGTTTTTAAAGTGGAATGGTAGGATATTTCTTTTAGATATACAGTATCTGTATGTTTTATGAAGTTGCATTATAGCTTTTTGCTTATAGAAAGAAGGCTGGTGAACTGAGAGAGTGCATAGATGCTCCACTTACTGTTTAATTGTCCTTATTTACAGGGAGTCAGTGCAGTTAGGTTGTTTCCACTCTCTGGGCATATGCTTCTGTCTTGCTCTATGGATTGCAAAATTAAGGTGAGTTATTTTTCTACTTTCATTTATGTATTTTATTCCAGCATTGAATACAGAAACTGCATTTAGAGTATGTAAATGCTTGGTAATTCTACCAAGTTACTGTTACTTTTATTTTCTCACTTGAGTTTTAAATTACAAGTTCTTGGGAACAAAGATAGAATAATACACAAGGTGGTGTGGGTGTTAGAACAGTGTTAATCATTTAGTAATAGAATTTAGAAGGGCTTGAGTTGCTCAGGTTACTGTCTTTGCTATTGTCATAATTTTCTATGAGGTTTAGTTTTGCAGCCAGCAATAGGCTTTTCATTAAGTGGTTTACTGGAAGTATTTGTGCCTTTGAACTAATCCCATTTTAGTCCATCAATGTCATATTAGAAAACTAATTAACTGATTAATATTTTTTTAATAGCAAAATCGTAGACGTTTAAAAATTTACATTAGATCTTCTTTTATTGTACTATTTTTTTTTATTATTATTCAATGGTCTGGTTGGTTTTTTTGCTAAAAAGATGGTATTCTTGTAAATGACTGGATAGATATGTGGGATTAATCAGTTGATGTCTTAAGTTTGTAATTAATTTCTTAAAAACTGGTGTGATATACATTTGCACTTAATTTCAGCATCATTGTTTTTATTAACTATTGACATATTTTCTTCCCTCGTCCTTTTTTTTTTTCTTTCAAGCTGTGGGAAGTATATGGTGATAGAAGATGTCTACGGACGTTTATTGGTAATCATACTTTTATTTTTTTTAACTTAGCTCTTAATATACATATAAAACAGCTGTGTGAAAGGACATGTTTTAGGTTAGCTTATTGCTTTTATCTTAAAAAGGATCTGTAAGTAGCCAAGGCAAATGGTATTCAGTATAATGCTGGCAATGAGAATTGAAAAAGGTGCAACTTTTTAGTGAACCTTTGGCTTTATTCCAGGAAATATAATGTCAACATATAACTCTTCAAGCCCTTTAAAACAAGACATTAGTGTACTGTACTCATCAATACTTCATGCAAAACTTCTTTCCAAAGGCAAAATTGTGAAACTGCGTTGCTTCATGTTGAGAACAGCAGCCCTCTGTAGAGAGGGCATCTCGTGGTCTGTTAATCCCTCTTTAGCTAGGTGGTCTCCTGTGTGCTGAGTTTCAAGTGCAAACATGGGAATTTTTTCTTATTTTGTTAGGTTCTGGTGCAGTTTTGTTTATGTAACAGGTTTTTGTTAAAGCAGATGGTTGAGAGAGAAATATATGAACTTCACAGCAGTCTTTAATGCAGAACAAAAGTAGCCAATTCTTCTTTTGAGATGGGAGCATTTCTAGAATGCACGTTGAGTGAATATATGTTGAGTAACAACAACAAAGAAGTCTTTTTATTTGATATTCCTGATGACAGCAGGATAGCAAAGAAATGCTCAGAAAAGGTTCTCTAAATAGTCTGCTCATTCCGAACAGTTTGACTGTTCTTCTCAGAAGATCCTTGACATTAACCAGGTTTATTTGCTATTTCAATATATATCAAAAGCTTCTTGCAATTTTATAAATATATATACACATATTTACTTATATATAAAACATACACATAAATAATATTTTACATATGTTTTTGTATATAGTTTCTGTGCCAGTATTTTAACTAAAGAGAGCTACAGTGATCAGCTGAAAGTATTGGGGTGAAGGATAGCATGGTAAACATCAGAAGACCTCATACTTCCAATGATTTTTAATTATTTTGGTTTTCATTTGAAATGTTTCTCCTTCAAATGCATCCCAGGTAGTTTTTGTCTCTCCTGTTCTTTCCCTTCGATGTCAACATTGATTTGCATGTTGTTTCTGTGCAATACTGTTGTTTCTCTCTCCAGAGCTTATCTATGTTTGTGGTTTGTTTTTTGTTTTTTAATTCTCATCAGCCTTTATGAGGTACTTGAGTCAGGAGTTCTTTGTCATTTGAATCACTGTGCTGAAATCAGGTTTACTGATACTCAGGAAGGATTTCAGTAAGCAATTTCCTTGTTCTCTTTGCCCTTCTGAAGAGTATAGCAGCTAAGTGGAAAAACGCTCTCCAAAAAACACCCGTAATTCGAAGCACAAATTAAAGGTTTCTTGCATTTTTTCTGTGTTGTAGGACATGGGAAAGCTGTTCGAGACATCTGTTTTAACAACGCTGGCACTCGGTTTCTGAGTGCTGCATATGACCGCTACATTAAACTGTGGGACACTGAAACAGGTAGGCCTGTAGCTGTGCACACTGTGGTTAACTAATAGTAGATAACAAGGCATATCATCAACCAGATTGTTTCTAATTATCCTTAATATCTTTTCATGGTTCAGTGTTCAGGCTTTTATTAACAAGACAAACAGGCTTTTTATTCTAAATGTTCTGTTACCTATAATAATGCAATTGAGAATACTTTAATATGCTTATTCATTTGAGAAGTCCTTTAAGTATTTGTCATGACAGTACAATTTTTAGTTTTAAAAACTAACAAATCACTTAACTGTATGTTTACATCTAGAGACATTTTAAAAAAAAAAATGAAATCACACTTTAGACCAAAATTTAATCTGGAAGAATTATTTCACTTGATCTTTCAGCTTGCTGAATGCTGATGAGAATGCTCTTATCTTGAAAAGCATTCTGAATAGGAAAAGATGGTGGAAACTGAGCTGTTGCTATAGGAAGCAGAGAATAGATCTGATGCTTTCACAGAACTGGCTGGGAAATGTTCAGTAACATTCTGCTCCAAGAGGTTTCTTTAGTTAAAAAGATACAGGGTAAATTTTGTAGGTATTCTTTGAAACCAAGGATGTCAGAAAGAAGTTTCCATAATTAGCTTGCTTGATTAGCAGTAGCAGTAGTCTGATTCAGGTGTCAGTCAGAAAGTAGAAGTCAGATTGTCCAGCCCTGAGTCAGAACTGAGGTTTTTTGGACACTGTTGAGCTCTTGAAATTCAATAGGCTCCTGGAAGTTACAGATAACCCATTTATGGCTCAGACTGTGAGAAGAGATCAGTGGCTTGTTTTGTGGTTAGATTACTGTTACCCTTTTTTTACACTTAAGAATAGGAAATTCTGAGTTCCAAGTCTCTTGTCAGGAAGAATTCTGATCCTAATCAGGTGATGTTTTGCAAAGGCTCTGGTCAGCTTGCCACATCTTGACTAGATCTGATGTCATTGACTATGTCCTGATAATATGTAAGCTACAGAGCTTACAGAGTTACATTATTTGGAAAGCTGTAGTAATTGTATGGATGAATGTGTTTGTATGTCTTCATTCAGGTATATGCTTACAAACATGCCAGCTAACATGTAGGGTAAATTCTACACTCTCATTCTCTCAGGGGCTTAAAAAAGGTATTTTCTGCTGTTAGTGAAATAGAAGTAGAATGAATGTCTCTATCAATATATGTAATGAATTAATCAGCCCTTAGAACTTCTGGCTTGACCCATTATGAATGGTTTTGTTTGTTTCAGGACAGTGTATTTCAAGATTCACAAACAGAAAGGTTCCTTATTGTGTCAAGTTCAATCCTGATGAAGATAAACAAAATCTCTTTGTTGCAGGAATGTCAGATAAGAAAATTGTGCAAGTATGTCTACTTTGTCTTATTTTCTTTTGATTTCTCTTTGTAAACACTCTGCCTACAGCTCAAAAGATTGTTAGTTTTAGTTGAATTTTCTTATTCAATTAGAATTTCTGAACCAGTTGAGCATGTTTCTTTTCCCTCCTACTTTCAAAGACTGTTACTAGAGGATTTGCTTTCTTGCCTGTTATTATTTTAAAGCTTGAAATTATAAAAATAAATAAATAAATAAAAAGATATTTAGTAAAATCCAGCATCTTACTCTGACTTCTTTAATTGTAGTGGGATATTCGGAGTGGTGAGATTGTGCAGGAATATGATAGACATTTGGGAGCTGTCAACACCATTGTGTTTGTGGATGAAAATAGAAGATTTGTGAGTACGTCCGATGATAAAAGTTTAAGAGTCTGGGAATGGTAAGTTTAAAAATACTAAATTTTCATGTAAAGTATATTATGAACAAACTGAGAAGGCAGTGTATTGTTAAAAGTGTATGTAGGATGCTGAAGCATACCAAGTTTACAGCTAGCTGAGTAAGAGCTGAATTCAAATCAAGTGTGTATGTAATTATGTATTGGCTAACCTTTCACAAGAGTATAGAACCAGAACAATTCAGATACCCTTGTTGCTAATTTCTGATAACTGTTGAAGTTGGGCATATCCTCTGCAAATTTGTGTGTTCTGTCACTGTCTGGTATGGGCCCTAGTTCTTAAATACTGTTCTACTGTAAAATTGAAACATCCACAACCTACTTCCATTGTCTTGGAAGTCATTGGAAGTCATTCTTAGTGTCTGACAGTGAATTGTTGTCCCTGCGCTACTGACCTACAGCACTGCAGTATTTGAAAACTATTTTGAAAGTCAGCAAAGTGAAATATCTATTTAGGAAAACCTCTTTTTATTGATGCAAATTCTATATGGGCATCAGGCTGTATTTATTATTAGTATTAATGATTAATAATATATTTTAATGTTTATATTTCTCAAATCTCTAGAGAAATTATTCTAATCTTTAAAGCTAGTTGTTTCCTATCACACTGCTGAATGCTAACCAAGCTGTTCTGGCTTCATTCTTGAGGCACTTCATAGATTTCTCTTCCTCTAAAGAAAGCACAAGACAGCCATGTCAGCCTGAAGCATGCTGTACTCTATTAGCAGTCTTTGTTATCTCTCCTTTCCCCAAGGGTACAGGAGCCCATAAATAAGCCTTTTTTAAAAAAAGTTTGCTATTATGTTGGTGTTTGTAGCTTTTGAATGCTTTGAGCTTTGGTATGTACAATATTATTTAATATTTTACCAGCATACAAGATAACAATCTTGGTGTAGCTTTGTTTCTGCTTTTCTGGTAGTCTCCTTTTTGGACCATCGCTGATACAGTATGAGTACAATAGGGGACAGAAAAATGAAAGTCACTCCAAGAAAACTCATATGAAACATTTTCAGTGCCTTCCATTTTTTAACATAGCTGGGGACAAGACAAATATCTTCTGTTTCTGAAACCTTTTCCACAAGATTCTAGGTCTTGAGACCTTCTGCTTAGGACTGGAAGATTTCTCTAGGACTTCAGGCATCTTTTTGAAATTATTTATTCCATATCTTTAAGTATCCATTTCATTTTGTCATTCACTCATGAAAGCTGTTGCACAACACAGACATGAGTTTGACAGCTCTGTGACTAATCAGTTTCTTCCCAGCATTTTTTATGGGTTTTTTTTCACCTAGACAAGAGGCTCCAGTCTGTGGTATTTGAATGTCACCCAAAACCCACAGTGTGTCTGTGATACGTTGCTATCATTGCCAGTAGCAGCAGCGGTAATGACCAAAGTCTGGGAGCCCAGGCTCAGGCTTATAGGCATGGAACACTGTCTCCAGATGTGATTCCCAGAGAGCCTCTGTTCAGTTTTTTATAATTAGACCCATGTATTTACTGAGCTCCTCAACATTATCGTGTCTGCTAAGGAATGTCTCCTCTCTGGTGAGTAGGAGGAGGATGTCACTTGCACAAGTCTGTTATTTCCTTGAGATTGGATTGCCCTTCTTCTGTGAGCTCTGTGTTGATGGCTGAAATAAACAGCGAAGTGGGTGGATTTAGTCACTGTGGAGAAAAGCAGGAAAGGCAGAAAGGTTCTGGAATGGGAACATCGCAACCTGATTGTTACAGTACCAGATTTTTTTTTTCTTCTTCTGAAAAAAAAAAAAAAAAAAAAAAGTACTGAGCATCCTGTGCACTGAAAAAGGGTTCCCTTGTTCAGATAATAGGGAACTCAACTGTACACAGTGTTCTGCCATACAGTCTTTGGGGAATTTTTTGATTTTATAAAAAGTAAATGTTGTCTTTCTAGCCCACGACTTGAAAAACATTCGTCCATAACCTGCAGTTGATATATGGTAACCAGTCTGTGTATGTACATAATTTCAATATCCAGATTTTTGCAGTGCATTAAAACTGTTAATATATTCAGCACATCAGCTTTCCATATCAAACTATTTCATACCACGCCTCAAAATCTTTTTTTTTTTTCTTAAGTTCATAAGGACAATTGTTACTAAATCTCCAGTGACTTGGTGCACTGTATTTCTTCATGTACTTCAGCACAGTATTTCTTCAGTATCATCCAGAAACAAAGCAGCTTTCAAAGTAATTATGACCTGAATATGGCATTAAAAGCCAGTAATTAAAGCTGGTCTAATTACTTGGTTTCAATTGTTTAGAGAAATTCTGTAGTGAGTTTTGTAAATACTCTGACTTGGCCAGAGCTGATAATGGGATGTCATGTCAGACTTCATTACAGTGAGCAGCTTCACCCTTGAGAATGTAAATATCCTTTCCCCCAGAGTTCAGAGTATGCTCATAGGTTTCACAAGGACAAACTTAAAAGATCTGGTAGTTTGTTCAAGAGTATTAACTGGAGTGCTTTTAAAATTTGTCTGCTTTGCTTTTGATGCGATTGTATCTTTACAGCAGTGATATTAAAGTTGACACAGGTGTTATATTCTATGTTTTCTTTTAGAAATGCAAAACGTTGTTTTCTCTCGTGTGCTTCTCATGCTTCTGATTCTAATTGGATAAACAGTGAAATGATTTGGGCAACTGATCCTGGAAGCTTTTCTTTCTTTATACCCTTTGAGTGAGCTGGCAAAGCAGGAGCAGTACAGCAGGAACTTAGTTCTTACATTGCCAAGCTTAGGAGGCTTGTCATGTCTGTCACTCTGTATCTCTCCAGCAGGTCTCCATATTTCCTTATAAAGATACCTTTGGCACCTGAGTTTTCATGCTATACAGTGGGTTGGTTTTCTTGGTGTTTTTTTCTTTTTCTTTTTTTTTCAGTTCATTTGTTTTAACATGGCCTCTGGTAGGATTGCTTCCAGCTAGCACTGAGGACTGCAGATGACTGGTGTGCTGAGGGAGCGTGGGCTGTAAGGAGTTGCAAAGGATCAGGCCTTGCTACAGTGATGATTTTGTGTCCTGTTCCAGGCATGATTTGAAGCTGTTTGAGTACTGCTCTGAAAGAATGAAATGGAATTGAGACCAGGGAGTTCACAGCTGAGTTTAGCCATGAACATTCAGAATTGGTTGGCATCCCATTTGGGGAGAACAGGAGGAAAATGGCATTGTCAGAGGGAATAGAATAAAACTCCTGCTTTCTTTAATGTTTGTTTTTTAAAGAAACTGGAGGCAATCGAGTATTTTTGTGTTACAGTTTCCCAATTGGAGTTAGGATTCTGCTTTAGACTATGGGTCATTTGATTTGGGGTAAATTCATGCTGTCAGTGGTTATCCCGTAAATGGTTGCACAGCTGCATTTCTCTAAATGAGCACCCATAATTTTGAGCTTATCCACATTCTTCTTTAGACTGCACCGCTATGTTCTCAGTAGCTTAGTAAATCAGCTCTCTCAAGGCAGCCCTTTGGAATAATGTCTGCAGTCCTTCCTAAACACATACGTTTTCCTTTTGCAGGGACATTCCTGTAGACTTCAAGTATATTGCTGAGCCAAGTATGCATTCGATGCCAGCCGTGACTTTGTCTCCAAATGGTGGGTTAACAACTTCACTGCCTTCTCAGGCCGAGCTGACATAAGATGTCTCACTAATGAAAGCTCTGTAATTTTGCCATCTTGTACCTCCCTGCAGCCCATACAACCTTCCCAAAGACATGTGCCTTTATTCCAAGATCAGACTGAATCTGGATTTGATTTAAAAGTTTTGAGAAGACAAATGTGTCAAAATGAGGGGTTATTGCAGGACAGCTGTATCAGTTTAAATTTAGACCTTTCTCCAAATAGAGTAAAAGGGCTCTTTCTTTTCACAGAACCTCAGTGTGTTCTTTGCAATATTTAAAATATTAGGAAAAACAATGTTGGGATTGACAAGGGCTGCAAAGTACTGAGCAAGTTCAGCAGTCCTTGTGGTGTCACTGATAACACAAAGACTGATGTTTTACATGATCCTGCTGATGTTGTTTCTTTGTTCTGAATACAGCACAACTAGCATTTGCTCAAGAGAAATTCCAAATGAACTCGATGTTTCTGTATGTTAATGTTTCCCTAGTGTTTATGTTCTTCTGTAACAACCTGACTGCAGGAGGGCAAAGGCTGAATGCCTCCAGCAATAAGTGAAAAATCCTTTTAATAGGACAAAATCTCTTTTATGTGTGTTGGCCAAAATTAAATAGCTTTATTGCCAATGTTATTGAAGCGTTATAAATTTACAGTTAACAGTCTCATTTGCTGAGTGGCTGATCAGCTTGTATAGCCAGCATGTTCAGCCAGCTATCAGCATCAAATTACAGTTCCTTAGCAGTGTAAATATTTCATTCTTAACAATTGAGGCAGAGCCTTAATATTAAAAGGAAGATTCTGGAGAAAGACAGTTAAAATGAAAATTTTATGGAAGGAAATTTTCAGTTTCCTTTTGAAGGATGCAGAAGATTGTAACAGACCTTTTAAAAATCTAAGAGAGAATAATGTAATTGGGGTAAGCACCCTGTTTATTTCTCTGGGAGGCTGAACTAAACTGTCTAATTCCAAGCTAGCAGCTGGATCAGATTTAAGGACAATTCAGCACATTTTCTGTCATTGTTCAAATAAGACACTGAAGACCATGATAATATAAAGAGTTCAGGGAAGAAGTCTGTTGTAAACTGTTCTGTAGTGCATTGCCTTCACTGCATTAATTCCTACATAGGTAAGAATTAATGCAGTGCCAAGACACAGTGAAATGAAGATTAGAAAAGCCTTATTTATTTTTTTTTTTAACTCATATGTCTTGATTAAATCATACTCCATTATGACACAGAGAATTAAATAGTCTCAAAAACATAAGGATTCTGAAACTCCTTAGTCCAGGTGACCATCTTAGAGTACCCGCAAAAAAGGTTATCAAATAGATTACCTATTATTTTTCCTTAACCTGAATTATTTGATTGAGAGTTTGTAATATGTGCACCATAAAAACTTACTCAGTAGCTTAAAAATGGATCAGTTCATTACTGGGGTTAATATAACAGGCAGAGCTTTTTTAGAGTTCTGAGTGCATTTTGTAGGAACAGGCTTCCCAAATCCTGTCAAGCATAATTTTCTGCCTTCTGACAGTTGTAACAGGTGGAAATTGGGTTGGCCATCTTCCAGACCCTATGATTCTGTGAAGTAACATCAGCTTCTACCAAGAAACGTTATTACATAATAAGAGAGATTAGATTTAGGTTGGACATAAGGAAAAAAATCTTTTACAGTGAGGATGGTGAGGCACTGAAACACGTTGCCCAGAGATGTGGTTGAAGCCCCATCCCTGGAGACTTTGAAGGTGAGGCTGGATCAGGGTCCTTTGGGAACCTGATTTAGCTGTGCATGTTCTTGTTCATTGCAGGCAGTTGGACTAGGTGTCATTTAAAGGTCCCTTCCAACTCATAAGGATTCTATGGTTCTATAATGAAAATCTGAATTAGCACAGTGCAGAAAAAGTTATGTGTGTCTCAAACTTACCAACCAAGATTGTTTCTTCATATTGGCATTCTGTCATCTTCTCTGTTCGTTGCATTTTTAGGGAAGTGGTTGGCTTGCCAGTCAATGGATAACCAAATTCTGATTTTTGGAGCTCAGAACAGATTCAGATTAAACAAAAAGAAAATCTTCAAAGGTCACATGGTAGCTGGCTACGCTTGTCAAGTGGATTTTTCACCTGATATGAGGTGAGTTTTGTGGGAAAGAGCTTCATCTTTAAACTCACAAGCACAGACACCAGATTTCTTTTAGAATCCTTTGCAACATTCATTGATGCACAGCCATCCCATTAACTCAGTAATAGAACAGAGCTCTCTAAGACAAGCAGCAGAATAAGTTTGCTTTTCTTGTTTGACTGGACTAAGTGAACTCAACAGTTGTTCCAAGCAACAGTTAAAAAACAGTCAGCATAGTCCAGATTCTCCATTCCCTAAAGACGACTTACATTGCTGTGTTGAAGCATCCAGAGATTGCCCTTATTTTGCCCAGTCCTGGTGCAGCACAAATCTGCATCTTGCTGTGTTTGCAAACAGACAGTAGCAGTCTGCCCAGAGCCCTTCAGGCTTTGTTCCCACCATATGCACCTGTCTGGAATTCCTGGGATTCAGACTTGCCTGGTTTTTCCTATGCACAGGTCTGGTGTGGTATATCCTTATTTAGCTGTTCAGAGATCTATCTTTTACATCCTGTTTCCTTGGTAACATGCCCATATATTTACCACGGTATGTACATAAGCTATGCATTGCTGTAAAAAGTGGAGAATAACCTCAGCAAAACCAGAGGAAAAAGCAGAGCGTGTGTCTATAACTTGCAGATGAACTTCTGGCACTTTTATCTTTTCAGTCCCAGCAACACTGAGTGGTATAATCACACTGGTTAGCACATTTACCTACAGCTGATGCATCACCTTCTGCAGGACTATGCGTGCCACAGAGCACAGCATGAATGCCAGTTCTCTGGCAGGAAAGTTTTCAGACTGTCAGGCGGGAGGCTAACTGGGTGAAGCTCTATTCTTTTCCTCAATATGAAGTGTTACAATATAATGCAGTCCTTGCACTTAATGCAACTTGTATTTTAATCCTTTTAATGCAGCTATGTGATATCTGGAGATGCAGATGGAAAGCTTAACATCTGGGACTGGAAGACCACAAAACTCTACAGCAGAATAAAAGCACATGATAAAGTCTGCATTGGCGCAGTCTGGCATCCTCACGAAACATCCAAAGTCATTACGTGCGGCTGGGATGGTCTCATTAAACTGTGGGACTAAAGAGGCTGCTGCAAGGATCTGAAGTTGTAAGCCCTGAGATGTGAGGTTGGAGTGAATTCTGCTGTAAGGACAGGTAGACATTTTGTGATACAGCTGTTGGCAGCTGGCTGTATATAGGCTCTGAAAGTGGGAAATCTTCAGAACGCTTGACTCAAAGGATCTTGTTCTAAGCGCAACATCTGGCTATGAGAATGTGAAGTGTGCAGCATCAAGTGTTAGTTTGTCCTGTCACCTTCTGTGCAAAATACTCTTGTAAAATAAAATAAATTTAAGAAAAACTATTTTTGTGGCTCTGGCTGTCAGAGATGTGGGGAGTTTAAAGAGAAAACCAGCAATTGTGTAGTCTTCTTCCTAAGAAGAAATCTTTGATACCTACTGTGACAGAGCTGGAAGTAGAGCATTTGTTTATGTTTTTCGGATGGTATTTTATTCTCCCTAAAATACTTCTACCTTTCTAGAACACAAAATCAGTTGCTAATGATGTCTGTCAATTCACAGTAGAAATGAAGAACTAAGCAGAAGCGTACAGCCCTCAATTAGACTGTATCAACTGAAGCCTGTATTCATAAAATCTTGGTTTAACAACTGCATCATGCTGATCGCCGAGCGTCATCGTTACAAGTACCCCTCAGTTTCCCTGTCAGGGTTGGGTACCAGGTGTTTTTCTCTTCCCATTTGCTGTTAAGTTCCAGTAAGCATGACATTAAAAAACGAACAAAACAACAAAGTGGGTAGGTTGTATTATAAGTTCCACGCAGTTTGTGACAATGTACTGTATATACATGCCACACTTTCTCCTCTTTAAAAGACTTATTTTTAATAAATCATTTTATAAAGAAACTTCTGCTTATCTATCTTCATTCATTTCTTCCATCCACCACTGTCCATGTGAAATATTTATCATTTGGCATTTTAATTCTCAGTTTTAATAGAATTCAGATAAGCTCATTTTCTTGCTCCGTTCATACAAAACTAATTTAAGTTGGAAGGAAGGGGGAAAAAATCCTTTTAACACTGTCTGCTCTTCTTTTGAGACTCTAATAGAAATAAAAGCATGTAACAAATTTATCCATTGACCGGTTTTAATTACAGTTTTGAATTACGCTCCGTTGCTTACTATAAGTCAACAGCTGCTCATCAATTAAACAAAAGCAAAGGATTAATGGCTATAATTAGTAGTAGGATGGGAGATAAGGCATTTCAGTAGCTGTGATGAAAAGAATCTCAAACTGGAAGGACTTTTTTCTAAGACTTTGTTTGTATTTTAAATCTGCTGTTCTGGAAGGATTGATTAACAAGACTGTTCTCTCAAAGAGTACTTGTTGAAGTTAGGCCTCTATGAGTGAGCTTGGAACATAATGGATTTTAGACCAGCTGCCTAAAGCTGCATTTTAGAGTCTTTCCACTGTCCATTCATGCCCTCAATATAATTGCACCAAATTTATGTTTTTTCCATTTACTTTCCCATCTCAGTAAACACAAGTACCAGAAACACATCAAAGACTTTTCACAAGAGGAGCTCCAATTGTATATATTGTCCAATATCTCCCACCTGTATAAGTGCCGGGGCTGGAAATGTGGAAATGGTAGAATTTAGAGAGAGCAAGGAGGTAGTGAGTGTCCTGAGAATCATGCAAGGAAAGAAGAGATTGTTCTTCTTTCTGGACTGGTAAGGATGTGAGTAGGAGTGAGCTGCTGCCATGGTGTTTCTGAGCAGGGTGTTGAGCTCTGATGTCCCGTGTCTGCTGCTTAAGGAGAAAATTGGCTAAAATAACTTAGAATTGCAGTTTTTTTTCTTTCAAATACATTTCTTAAATGGATACCGAATCCTTAAGGTTGGAAAAGACCTCTAAGATCACCCAGTCCGACCCCAACCCACCCCCACCCTGCCCACTAACCACATCCCTCAGTGCCACACCTACACGTGTCTTGAACACCCCCAGGGACGGTGACTCCACCACCTCCCTGTGCAGCCTGTGCCAATGCCTTACCACTCTGAGAAGTTTTTCCAACCTGAACCTCCCCTGACACAACTTAAGACCATTCCTTCTCATCCGAACGTGTAGCTGTGTGCCTGAACATTAACAGCATGTAAGCATAAAGAACTGGGGAAGAAAAGAGGAAATAGAGCAGATAATATACAAAACTTTCAAAGCAATTTAACTCCCCTATCAGAAACATCTTTCCCAAATGCTTAAAAGCATTTAAATGACAGTAGACACAAGTTTTGGCTCTGCAGCTCATATTGCATTGCTCCGTTCATCACCTTCCCAGCAGTACTTGATTCATGTTTGTGTGTATGCATAAATAAGTGTATGAAGTCATGTAGTGGTGCACTGTCTGTTGTCTCTGGGGAAGAAAACCAAGAAGCATTGACTCAATGAATTCTGGAGTTGATGAGTTAGGATTAAATGTCTGCAACAAGCCTCAGATCAAAATTCCACTGGAAACTTTCAGATAGATCAACTCCTTTGTCCCTCGCTGTTGGTCACCCTGTTAATCCGATGTGGAATTCCTCACATCTGCATTGAAGCCTGCAGGGAGAATTTTTATGAGGATAATTCCTCCCTGTCAGCTGTAGAGTCAAAGACTCCAAAGCTGGCGGCGTCAGCAATTTTGCTGTGCCTGGAAGAGGCGGTGGTGTCTGCGTGGTGGGAGTCCAGACTTGTTCTTCCTGCAGCCACCTGGGAAAGGACTTCTGGCCGAGCTAATAAGCTCCAATTGTGTCCTCTTTGCCTCTCAATTTCATGTTAGGCCAGAAATTGGCCTGCTACAAATGTTGGCCAGAACAAGTCTAGACATACCTCTGGGCTGACAGCCCATGGGCAGACAGAGCAGGGAAAGGCCCTAAGCAGTGTCCCCTAACACCAAGCAAGTCCAAAGGGGCTCCCTGGGGGCTGAAGCCTGTTGCACTACCAAGGAGGAATACCCAGGAGTTGGCATGTAGGGCTGCAGTGACAGCACTGTGGTTTTGTCCCTCTATCACGCATCTCTAACTCAAGGAAATGATGTGGCGATGTCTTGACACTTATTATTAATACCAATTACTGTTACAGCGGGGGTTTGTGAATAGGTGAACTATTGTCATCATTGCTGAGTTCTGCCTTGGAAACCTGATTGTTCTTCTGGCCGTGTGCCACCTTCCTCATGGACTTTTTCTCATATGTGAGAGGGGGGAATATCCCACGTGTCTCGGTGCAGCTTGCCAGTAGGTGGGAAGGCAGTCTCTCTCGAGGCAGATGGTCGTGGCATCTGTCTCATACAAAGCCCACAACAGTCCTCAGGAAGACAGGGCTGCACATTCTTTGCCCTCATTGCAAGAAGCAAACATCTGTATTAATATGCATCCAGAAGACTCCAAGATTGCCTTGGAAAAAGCCAGTGTTTAGCAAAAAGCAGATGTTCAACACACCATTTAAAAGTGTGGTCTTCAAAGGCTCATTTAAGCAGTAAAGCCTTGCAAACCTGACAGCACAGTACCACTGTGTGCTTTCCTTCTTGCTACCAGCTGGTCGTTACAGAACCTCTTTCCTCCTGGGTAGAAAGGCTCTGTGCAAGGAGCAGCCTGTGAGAGGCACAAGCAGGGCAGGGTGGGAAGCTTTGCTCACAAGACTTTAAGCAGTTGAGTCTATTTAGCAAAAAAATCAGCTGACAGAGTTTGTGCCCCTGGGGACTACTGAAAGACTTGCTCCTGCAGACTGACTTCATTGGCATATACTCAAAATTTAAGTTATATTTTGAAGTAAAATAGATTTTTACTGCTAGGCTAGCTGATTAAAATTAAAACAAACTAATAAAAAAACCCACAAAGCCACCTGCACCATTGCTGCCTTGCAGCACTTGGAGAGAACTGCCTGAGGAAGGGCTCTGTTTGCAGAAGCTCCCTGCAGAGTTGAAAGCTCTTACAAACAAGTTTAGATGATGTTCACCCAAGCGTGGACATGAGGTACCCTGGCAGTCCGACCTCAGAGCCGCTTGTTACCTGGTTACGCCACAGAACATATTTAAAACGTTCTAAATGTGGAAGCACTGGGCCTTTGCAAGCCCCTGTTAACTCACTGTGCTTTGCACCACTGGGAGACTGCTAAAATCAGGTGTTATTGCAAATGTGCTGGGTTTGTCCTTTGGGCCAGGCTCAGTCCTTGGGCTAATCTGAGAGATGTCAACACTGAGCTGTGTGCCCTCTGGTTTCAAAGGAAGAAAACAACACAAATCCCCCGGGGAGTGATTTCAGCCCTATGAACCCTGCTGGGCTTCCCGACCACTGACAACCACACAGACACATCTCTGGGAGCTGCAGAGCCCCCCCAACACCATCACCCCATCACCCCACAGCCACCATTGCTGTAATTCACCACCTCAACACTTCCCCTGTGGCATGAGTGGGGTTTGGTGGAGTTTAAATTCTTATGAAGCAATGCTAAGAGAAAACAAACAGAACAACCAGCCTGCACTATAGCTGTGCTATGAGCACAGAGCTTACCTTCAGCAAACTGCTACAAAAGACACGTGTACGGTGGAAATCCAATGCAAAGAGTAAGGAAGTTCACAGTCTGAATATTCTTTGGTTGCTACGGAGAGAAGCGTAGATGTGACTCTGAATGTGGGTCAGCTCTGACCTTCCACCACCACTGAAACTCAGTCAGTTTCTACTGACTGCAATTAAATGTCATGTTGTGTTAACGAGCGGCCAGAAATCAGGAGTGACTTCTTACTGAGTAACCCTGAGGATCCCTTCAAGGGCAAGAGAGCAACTAATGAAGCTCCCAGAGCCAGGGTTCTGAACTAACCAGATGGTCTCAGCTGTGAATTATTCACCAGAGAGAATGAGTGCATTTTCTTCAGGTGTGCGACCAGGTGCTGCCTTGCTGGCTGCTGCCAAGAAAGGCCAGACACACCCCATTTATGCTTTTGTCAATCCTTCAGAATTGAGGGGTGCTCCTGATGAGGTTGGATATTAGGAAAAATGTCTTCTCAGAAAGAGTGGTGAAGCAGTGGCACAGGCTGCACAGGGAAGTGGTGGAGTCACCGTCCCTGGAGGTGTTCAAGAAACATGTGGATGTGACACTGAGGGATGTGGTTAGTGGGCATGGTGGGGATGGGCTGGTTGGTTGGACTAGTTGATCTTACAGGTCTTTTCCAACTTGAAGGACTGTGCTGTAGAGCTCAGTACATCATATCCTCCTGATGTGTTCCCACCCACTTGATGACCTCTGCAACGTCCCCGCTCCCCCAGAGCTGCTCCTGTATGCACAGGGTTCCTCTCTGGGGCCAAAGC